GGCCGACGTTGAGGTGACTCATGTGTACACTGGACAGAAGCAGCATGCATTCTGCTCGACGCCGGCCGATCGTTCTGACGAGGCGGCACTTCAGCTCGACACTCAACGGGCCTACTCCGCGGATCGTCGGGCCAGCAGGGGTCTGTACAAAGAGGGTCGAGTCTCGGTGGACGAGTTGGCCGCGATCGTGGGACCCGTCACGGCCAGACGGTCGAGCCGAAGCCAGCCCCGAGGGCGTCAGCAGACCGGCGCCTGTGGACGCAAGACTGGCGACTGGAGCCGTCGAGAGGCCTGTTTAGGGGGGGCGGACGAGCAGCAGAGACGCAGTCCGAGTCTGGGTCCGAGACCCGCCGAGGGGCTTTGTTCGAGGGCGAGGTCGGCCAGTCTGTACGCCAAAGCGCTTGCGGAGGAGGCAAGCCTTGCCCTCGAGACAGAAGCGAGCCGGCAGCAGCAGCAGCAGCATCAACAGCAACAGGCTCAGCGTCAATATCGACAGTCTCGAAGTTCCGGTTTGACGACAACAACGACCGTGCGCACCAAACGGACGCTTCGCAAGTTGACCGATCCACGAAACGAGACCGGCCTCTTTTTTGCCGCAAACCGGTACGGCTTGACCGGCAGCTCCGAGGGCCTGGAGGTAGAGTACTTGGGGGATGGACCATTTCTCAGTCGCGAAGTTGTCTACGAGCCGAATGCTTTGGTCGTGCAGGCCAGCAAGAGGCAACTGGCCGAGCTGTCCATGGCTATAGCCGATCTACAGTTTCGTCTTGACACACAAAGTGTATGTATGCCATCACCGTCTAGTCAAGTATTCTCTTCCAAACGCTTGCTGAAAGGCCAGATATTAAACGTAAAAAGCACCAGATGATACCCCATGAATGTGGCCCACTGACAGTCATAGAAGCTTGTTTTTTGATAAGTGCTTCTTGCTACAACTGTCTGCCTAAAATGACACTGCTGCTAGTCACCAGAGCAAGGATACAAGGTATCAAATGTTTGGGAGATATAAAATATGCTATGCAAATTTGGGCTTCGAGGAAACTTTTGGTTTCGAGTGAAAGTGTTTGATGAAGGGATTCGAAGGTCAATTCCGTCAGAAGACAACGACGGATTCCCGTTTGACCAGTTGTCGATTGGCTTCACTGGAAGAGTCTCGGTGAGGCTGTTTCCGAGGCAATCTTCTTCCATTCCAGCAAAAATGTGCTAGACTTTCGTTCGTCAAATGACGTATATCATCATTCCTACAACCGTATTCAAGCCTAGCACATTTTCACCGAAATCGAGGATGCTTGCCTCGGAAGCAGCCTCATCAAGCTTGCTCCAGTGGTCAAGATGAATCCGCCATCGTCTTCTGGTGGGATTGACCTTTGAATATCTTCACCAAACTCTTTCACTCAAAATGGAGACATAACTTAAACAATATTTGTTTGGAGTAGCGCTTGAATCTATCAATAAAGCTAGAATGGGAGATGTGTTCACTCTAGATGGCATAAAATTGTATAAGACTGGTGATTGAATTTTTCCCACAATGATATGCGTACGTCTCACTTCTTCATCAAATTTGACTAGGCTTTGATTCTGAAAGATAATTTTTTCCAGAATGGCCTGTAATTTCGACCTGAGAGCTAGACCATCTTAAAAGCTTAGTCCAGGCTGGATGAGACTATCCTTTGATAATCGTGGCCAAGTGAAATTTATTGGAAAATAAAAGCCTACTCTTAGCATTGTGGAAAAAATTCAACTCTCAGTCTTATATCACCCTATACAACTATAATTTATAATAAACTGTACCCATTTTCCAAGTTGTATGGCTTTCGTGTCCTCCTCTTAATTTGCTCGTTAGGGCTTCGACTCCGGTTACAAGTGATAGTTAAGACTTCGCGACCACTGCTGGGAAGTTCTGAGTGTAGACAACCCCACTTTTGGGTGACTCAGTATGAATAAATTCTACTGTACAGAAAAGTATTTTCTTCATTTTATGACTTTATACCAAGTGTCAGATCCTCGAGTCTTAAAACTGTACATTACTTTTATTCACTAATTAATAAGACTATAGTCAATCTAAATCGCCTAAGAATGATTTTTTTAAAAGTGTGGTTTTTCCTACAATTATAAGAGCAGGCGTAAGTAGGCCGGTTACTTTTATTTTATAGTTGGTTAAAGTAGGTTTATTTCTAGATAATTAGTAAATAATTGACTTAAATATTGAAAGATTGGCTAGATTAATAACGTTATTTAAAACAGTTTATTTCGGTTAATTTAGCCCTCTGCTTATTTGTCAAAAATCCCACATAACAAAATTTAATCGAAAAATAATCAGAATCTCATTCGCTTATTTGGAACATCATGTCGTTTAATCAGGATCGGTGATTACTGCTCTACCGGATCTCCACTTTCCTCCGACGCTGATTCAGCCAGTATAGACGCTTTTATTAAGATAATTTTTGACAATTTTTAAACATTTTTATTTTTTGAAGTGGGTTGACCTCGTTGTCGCAACTTGGTCTTGTTGTCAGAACGACTTAGTAGAACGCACCTAGTCCGAAGTCGTCTGTCATAGTAGTTGTCATAATTTATCAGTTCATCCGGACTTGGTACATTCTCAAAACGTTTCGCCGTCATCGTAGTCGACATCATCAGTGAGTATTGCCATTCTCCGCACCACTGATGATGCCGACTACGATGCCGGCAAAGCGTTTGAGAAGGTGCCAAGTCCACTGTTTGATGCTGGGAATCATGACAACTACTATGGCAGACGACTTCGGACTAGCTGCTTTCTACTAAGTTGCCCTGACAACAAGACCAAGCTGCGACAACAAGGTCAACCCACTTCTATAAATCGAAAGGAGACTGTGATCATATCAGAGGCCACAACATCTTGGTCTCCATATCTTTATTTTTTGACCTTGTAAAATTTCGGACACCTGCCCATATGCTGAGTAAAGATTTGTAAATATCTGGGATACACTCCTTACTTGACCAAATCAAGCTGTAACCGGATAAAATCAGTCATCTTCGGCCGACGAAGTGTATTCTCAGCCTCGATAAAAGCGATAAAATGCTAATCGCATGAAATCTAGAAACGAAAAGAAAGAGGAATGATCTATCATGAAGGGTTTGGCTTTGCTCGAGGCGCGAGACTCCCTTAACGGACTACTGCCGCAATGTCAAGGTACAGAATTTAGATTTTCTCTCTCGAAGTCCCAGTCTTTATTGTGATTAGATAGTTTATGGGTGAACTTAATGTTTGGGCATCTGGGCAAGCGAAACAGTTACCTCCATTTTAGTCATACCCACAGCAATATGTTGTTTGTTCTATACAAAGGTGACCAGATTTCATCCGCCAAAGCATAGTTTTAACGAATAGACCTCTCTTTAGTTAATGTAACCTATCGGAGAGATTAAGCCCTACTTTGTATAACTTCCTTCCTCAGGTTTTGCCCGGTTTCGATCTCAGCGGAGTGGTCTATTTTGCGATCAAAGAGATGCTACAGCTCTACTGCATCCACGTAATGATTACGGGATTCACGAATATGTTGACGTCGAAAAACAATGCTAAATCGTTCAATTCCTCAAAGCCTATGGTGAGTAGTGATCAGTCTCTTTGCCCACTTGTGGTCCACATCATTCCAACACCTGCTCAGTGCTTGCTCAGTCCCACTACTCTACGTTGTTAGGAAATACTCTGAAATGGAATGACGATTCTTGCTCAACTCCATAAACCCTCAAAGGTACTTGAAATTTCCTGTCGGAAAAGGATGATGAGATAAGGTCAGAGTTGCCCTCGTCTGCTATTCTAAAAGCACTAGGATAGACTCTCCTTCGTTGGAGAGGGCGACAGAATTTTTGCCTCATACAGTGTTACTGGTAGACCCTGAAACTAGGCAAGCAGCTGTCTCCAGACAATTTCTAGAAGAGTATTGCATTCACGTTCAACATTTCGCATTGTTTAAACTTAAAATAAAAAATGTTGGAATCAAAAAAGGATAACAATCATATGTTGCGCTGAGTCCGTGGACTGTCAAGGAAAGAATAACCGAATTCCACCGTCGATGAGTACGCAATGTGGAGTATATCATCACAACTCGAAGTGTGGACACTTTCTGCAGGAGTCTAGCCAGTCTGCGTTCTTGCTAATATTTAGAGGTTCTTCAAATAAGACAGGAATCTTCATCTTTGCAAGTGAAATCTGTCATGTGAAGTTTTATGTTCTCAGGGACTAAGAATCAAGTTTAAAGGCAAAAGTATTAACCGAAATTTCCAAAATGAATTTTCACACGGTGCTATAAAGAGTCCTTATCATCTATGCTGGGATGCAGTTTTAACTATTCTTATGTTTTGCCAAACCTTAATTCGAGTGTAGGAGCGTTTATTTACGAGATATTTTCACTGCGCCACACTACCATGATCGTCACTCGTCCTCTGGGAAGTCATGGAATTCAGTGCAAGCCAGGTCTATTCCATATCATATTTCTACTATTTGGTTGTCGATGGTGAAAAATTGAATATGCTGTTAAAATCGGCTATATGCTTCGGGAATAATAATTGTAGTCAGCCGTGAAGAGGAGGAACTTTGGGCTAGTAAGGCTAAGTGAAATTTATTAGCATAATGAGGTCTATTTATATAATTGTGGAAAAAAATAAACAATTAATCTTTCATCGTGTTTTTTAAAATAAGGTGTACCCAGTTCTAATCCTTGATGTAGCGATAGTCTTAAAAGCCTACTTATTTCTAAAACAGGCAAAAAGTATTATTCGTATAACTAGATTTTTGAGATTACCAGTAAATCAGTTATATGAAATGTATTTATCCTATTTCATTAAAAGTGATGAAGGACTGGTAGTAGGATTTTCCAACAATGACATGAGCAGAGCTGACGTTTCCAATGAATTTCACAAAGCCGTGATTCCAAAAAGGTATTCTCATCGAGGCATGGGTGGACTGTAGTATCGACCTCTACCAGGTCTCATCAGCTCCCCAGTTGGACTGAAACCCGGTTTGCGGTAGTGCAGCGCATAATCTCGACACCCTGATCCCTACACCACGTCACAGGGCAGATGATAATTTCAATGAAGGCCAGAAAATTTTCCATATCACATTCTATGGTGGGATTGTCGATGAAGCTAAGTTGTATTTGCTATGACAATCGATTACATTACTTATTTTTCGTTTTATAAGTATACTTCTCGATATTAACAATAAATCTGATATAATAGCTGTACTTACCTTTTGGGAAATTCAATAGAAGAATAAGGCTCTTATATCATATCTACTTATTAGTCTTGAGATACCTACTTGTAAAACGAAAAATAAATGCATGATTGTTTTAAAAAATAGAATTATAATTGTTCGGGTACAAACCAAATTTGTCAAAGCTCTCTTCCTTATTATGCCCAGCATCTAAGGTGCTAATTCATGCGAAATCCCTAAGCTGCATAATTTTTCAGCATCCCAAAGCTGCATTTGCCATCTGAATTTCCAAAAATTTGCTCTGGTTGTAGTTGCCTAATCGACACGGAGGCTTGTCGATCAGCCAGACTTAGCTCGTCAGATAGTTGATGGTTTACATACTTTGCTGCAAATTAAAGCCGGATTGGTCATCACTACCTGGTTTGAGCAAATTCTTGCCTCATCGACGCCAATAGTTTTCTCTAATACACATATTTCGGTATGTACAGATAACCTCCGAGAAGCGGCTTGCGTTCGGCAGAAAGCCAATCGAGGATATTCAAGTTGACTATCTTTGCGACAACTTGGTACGTTTCTCAGTCCTACAATAATCGAGACTATCATGTCAGGAGGCAACATGCAAAATAAATTGCTTCTGTATATAACGAAAAGATGGGTTTCAAAGAAGCCTGCAGGCATCCTGCCATCTTTTCTCTTGATTTATTATAACTGTGCGGTTTTTCGTATGTTAGGCTATCTTGCTCTGAAGATATCCATCGCATGACAGGTGACAGCTCAGCATCGATGAATTGGAGAGGCAGAATGGCGAATGGAGGACTTTATTGCACGATACAAACAGTTTTCACCCCAAGACAATTCTCCGTTGGTTTCCAGCAAGACTATTTTTCACGATTTATCTTTCAGACAACTTCGACGTAAAACTTCGAGTATAAGTGCTTGGTGAAGAGATTCTAAGGTCGATCAAACCAGAAGACGTCTACAGATTCCTCTAGCCAGCTGTCAATTGGCTTTAATGGAACATTATTGTTGACGCTGTTTCCGAGACAATCTCTTTCGATTACAAAGAAGACCTAAACAACTACAAACCGAGAGATTCATCGATGCCCAACTCGGCTTTACATGCAAAGCCGAGTTACACTAGCGTTCTTCTCTGCCTCCTTGACGCCGAAACAATGCTGCAAAATCGAAATCAGCTGAATTCTCTGAAGAAGGAGAACTTTTTACGCATTTAAGATCAAGTAATTCATCCAAAAATTGTCGAAAAACTTACAAACCTCGTCTTCATACTATGCGCCAGTGATGGGTTAAGAGAAAAGATTTGAAGAAGATCTTGGTTTCTATGACTCTTGGCACAATCCAACGGTCATCCTTCCAAATTAACCAGATCTTCTGCGGTTTTCAGTAAGATCAAAACACCAATTCCCTCCAACCGACTTTTTCTTGAAAATAGCAAGTCGATTCACATTAAAAGAATCGAGTTCGACTAAGAAACTCAACTTGAACGATTGCCAAGGACCGTTTTCTCCTCCAGGCCGGAATTCAGCATCTCCTCTTCACTTGCATAAACAGCGGGACCTGGAGCCAGGTCATGTTCTAATTTTCACTATCTTTCATAATTAAATTAAGGATGTATTTACCTTATTTCATCACCTTAAACGCAATTGGGTGAATACATCTTATAACTGATTTACTGGTAGTCACGAAAAACAATACTTAATTCGAAAAATAAGGTATAGTAGTCGATTGTTATAGCAAAACATACGTTTGCTTCATCGACAATTCCACACAAAAAAGTATATGATATGGTAAAAAAAAAGCCTGGCCTTCCTTCAAAATTCACATTTTTTTTGTGACCCAAAAGGCGCTCGTGGCAGTGTAGCCGAGTGGTTAGCGTGCCAGGCTACCGTCCTGCACTGTCACGGTTCGACTCCCGCTGAGGGTGTTGATAAGACCAATGCGAGGTCAAAACTGCAGTCTACTGGGGCCTGGATGAGAACAACTTTTGGGAAAGCAAGGCTATGTAAAAATTCAATGGAAACGTCAGCTCAACTCATATCATTTGTGGGAAAATTCTACTTCTACCC